ATTATTATTATATCATATTATATATATATATATATATATATATATATATATATATATATATATTTATATAATATATGATATAAACGATATTGAAAGAGGTTACAACATAGACAATCAACAAAATCTACATCGACAACTACACAGTGAACACCCAACAATAATAGAAGTGTCAAATTCCGTCCTAAAACTCAAAGACAATAAAGCCACAGGAATCGATTAAATCTGTTGGAAAATATATAAAAAAAGGTGATGATCAGCTTTTTGCAGTAACCCATAAACTAATAGTACTTATATGGCAAAATGAATTTTTTCCAGAAGAGTGGCTAAATGAAATAATATACGTTGCATAAAAAGGACGATTAACTGGATTGTAAGAACTATAGAGGCATTACTCTGTTAGCATCTTCACCTGTTAGCACCCTGCTTGGCAGGGTCACATATCAGATCAATTTACGGTTGCAAAAGGCTTGAGACTGGGAGATCCTTTATCCACTACATTATTCAAATTAGTATTAGAAACTGTAATCAGAAAATGCAGCATGAAGATGGAAGAAACGATCATGAAAAATGAGCACCAGTGCTTGGCATTTGCTGATGATCTAACGATCCTAGCAAAAACCGAGTAAGAATTAAGAAGAGTTGTGAAGAAAATCATCGAAGAAGCACAGAAATTTGGATTGGAACTAAATGAAGACAAAACTAAATATATGATCATAGAAGGAACAGAAGGGAAAAAAGAAGACTTTAGTATGAGGTCAGTAAGTGGTAAAAGCTATAGTTTTAAAAGGGTGGACAAATTTGAATACCTAGGTGTAGTTTTCGATGAAAATGGAAAAGATAAATGGGAGCTCGTAGCCAGAATAGCAAAAGGGAATAAAAAATTAGGTGGTTTAAGAGCCCTACTGAACTCAAAATACGTTTCTAGACAAGGTAAACTCAGAATATATAAAACAGTAATTCGACCCACAGTAACATATGCCGGTGAGCCTGGACATTAAATAAGAAGGAAGAGGATACTCTGGAAAGATGGGAAAGGAAAATATTGAGATGCATATTCAGAGGACGAAAGGCAGAAAATGGTTGGGAAAGAAGAACCAACAATGAATTAATGGCTTTATACAAAGAACCTACTATTACCAAGTTTATCAAGGCACAAAGAATCAGATGGTTGGGACATGTGGAAAGAATGGCAGCAAACAGAATTCCTAAACTAGTAATAACCAGAAAATTAATCGACCCCAAAAGAAGAGGTAGACCCAGAACGAGGTGGATTAGTAAAGCGGAGGAAGACCTTAAACACGTGAAGGTGAGGGAATGAAAAAAAAAGCACAAAATAGAAGCGAATGGAAAAATATTGTACACCAGGTCCTTCAAAGTAGTTAAGAATGTTATATATACATATTTACGTTAAAGTTTTGTTTAAAATAATTGTAAATAGTTAATATTAGAATTATGTTGTAAAAAAAATGCTTTAGGCCTTAACGGCCTATTGTGCGTAAAAATAAATAAATAAATAATAGAGTGCAAAAATCGAAAGAATCGCGTTTTTTGCATTAATTTTTAATCATTAAAAAACGGCTCCGAACTTTACGCAGGAAACAGGTAGGTTTTCTTCTTATAGGTCTACAATAACTAAAAAAGTTGTCAGCTACCTGGATTATTGAGTGTCACGAGAAAATCCTTATTAGCCTGGACTAATATGGCTGGACAAGCAAGTGAAGAAACAAACTTCATATATTATGTAAACTTTAATAACAAAAACGTTGAAAATAAATATTCCTATAAATATAAATAATCAAATTCCATATTCAAATACAGCAAAATATTTGGGTATTGTCCAATAAATATAAATAATCAAATTTCTTATTCAAATACTGCAAAATATTTGAGTATTACTCTAAGATTTTATGTAAAGAAGAAAAGAAAATAATAATTCTGATTGAAATACAAAAAAATGTACTGGCTGATTGACCAAAATTCTACGCTGTTTCTACATAATAAATTATTATATAAGCAAATACTGAAACAATAGTATTATTATAAAAACAGTATAAACATTTAGAAGGAAAATGTTACAAATTAACAGAAAATATTTGTATTCATATAAAAATTTAATCAAATTATAGGTACTTATTATAGGTACTGCTTATTTATTATATAATATATAACTTCTTGTGAACTACCCATTTTAAAAACAATTAACACACTGGTTTGTCAAAAGTCGAAATAAACCCGAATAATGTTATTCAACATTATTTATGACCCACCTTCGAGAGGGTATTATACTTCTTACCTAACCAACCTAACCGTGTCGACGAGAATCCAGAAACTATCGACAAGGACAGCCTGTACTGGCCGAGAGAGAAAGTTACATTTAGCAAAATTTGAGATTTTAAAAAAAGTTTATACCAAATAGCTGCTTTGTGTTACACTTTATGTTAAAAATAAAAACAGATTCGGAAAGTGGGTCAAATTCTGTAGTGCCCTATTTCAAAAAAAAATTTTTTACGTTTATTTTAACCAAAAATATTTGAAAAAAAAATATTGTTTAAACAATTTATTAATTTACAACTAAATAGTGCACTAGAACTTTTTAAGACCTTTCATATAAAAAAAGAATCATCTCAATATCTGCCATAGTTTTTGCGTTATTTGATATAAACTTTTACATTGGAACTTAGGTATGCCCAGAAACGCAAGGAACGGCCTTAGTCAGCTACGTATTTAGATTATTCTAGAAGTTCTTTTAATGTTTTTGGGATATGGTAATATAGTCGTTCAACTGAGTATATTGGACAGTCAATCAAAATGTCCTTCACTGTCACTTTACATCCACAAAAAAACACACTGGTTCCTCTTCTTTCTTTAACAAATATTCATGTGTGTCCTAATCTGAGTCGTGTTATTTCTTTGAAGGCCAGAAGTTCCATGGAAGGACAGAAGATTTTATTTATATCAATTTAGTGGTGCTTTTATTCCATTGGTTTTGTGTAAGGTTTGAAATGTGAATGCACTGTTAGATTTTCCACTGATGCGATTGTATTGATTACTGCATACCTAGCTAGACTATCTGCCTTTTCTTTACCATCTATTCCAACGTGTGACGGTACCCAGAGGAACTCTACTGTCAAATTGTTTTGATATATACGGTGTAAAATTAACATTAGCTACACCTCCACTAGTACGGCATCCAGTCGTTCTATTCTTAAAATATGGTATATAGTTTTTAAGATTGTGACACGAATTTCCTTTGAAATATGTTTCTTGTAAACATAGGATGGATGAAATTTATTTATAAGAATCTTAAGATCTTCTAAACGGGTATGGTACCGATTTAGGTTCCATTAAATTATAGAATTAAAAATAGTTTAATTAATAAGTCCCCGGAGAGAAATTGCTAGGATCATCGGTAGAAATATTACTTAAAATTTGTTTTATAATTTTGTTTTTAATTTTGAACCAACGGGATTTAAGATATCTTGGACTTAACATAGGATGTATTTTCTTTAGAAAGTCTATCAATCCTTCGATATCCTTCGAGTAAGTTCTGGCGACACTGAAAGGATCTGGAGAATCATGCGCATTTTCAAAGAAGTCAATAAGTTCTTTCTATGTTAAGTATCTATTATTTAAGTTTTCATTTGAAGGATTGATTGGTGAATTTCGTAAAATCTTCTACTAAGTTTCTGTTGTTTTCTTGATGAGTTTGGCATTTTCGTTATCTCTTGTTGTATATGTATCTATATTATATCTGATACTTTTCGTTTAGGGTGCTGGAATAAAGATGTATCTTGATCTAAGGTAAGTCTCATTGGGTAGGCCCCAGTTTATCGGGGTATGCTTATTTAATTAAGAGGTAACGATTTTCCTAGACAATTTAGCCTCAGTAAGAGAGCATTATGTAGAGGACTTTATCGACAAAGGAGCTGATTGTTGTACTGTAGTTTTATTCTCAGTATCAAAGGATTGTGTAGAAGAAATTGTCGAAAGGGGAGCTAATTGGTGTTCTTCCTGTAGAAAGTTTAGATAAACAGTATTTTGGGTGTTGTTTTATGGAGTCTGATTATTTTTATTGGGACACTGAGATACAAAATGTTCCTTTTGCTTACATAAGTAACAAAATTGCTTTTCGATGGAAAAGAAAATTTGATACCTGTTATCCTCATGGTTAATTAACATAGAATCGGGTAATTTGTCTAATTTAGTTGGCACTATAAAAGTGTATCGTCGGAAACACAAGATATGCTTGAATGCTGGATTTGAAGTCCTTATCCTGAGAAAGTCAATTGGAGTTATTAGATGTATACCTAAGTTTTTAGTTGTTCTTTTATAATGCCATGCGGAATACTTGGAAATACGTTGGAAATAATCAATGGTTCATTTGAAGGTTTTAGTCTTAGGGATTGAATACATTATTGATAAATTAATACAATCCCATTGTCGTTTGCTAGAAACTCATCGAGTGCTTTTTACTAGTAAGAAGATACAAAAACGATCGTTTATAATTTGTTACTGCATTAAGGTAAACTTCGATATTAGAATTTGGGGGTAAGTGAAGTAGAATTGCTGTTTTTTGTTTGGAAATATATTTGTACGTTGATTAAGAACTGTAAAATATAATTTTGATGGTTGGTTTACAGGCAGATTGCCAGAACATTCCATGGTGGAAGATATTAAATATAAATTATTGAATGAAATCGTAGGCTTCCACGGCCAGAGTCAGAATTATAGTTTATTCGTCTTCCGGGTTTGGACCGTGTCATTTGTGAGTGACCCAAAAGTGGGTTCACACAGAGATGAACCCACTTTTGGGTCACTCACAAATGACACGGTCCAAACCCGGAAGATGAATAAACTAAAATATAAATTATTGCTTATTGCTAATATGTTTACTGTTCGCAGTTTCAAACGAGAATGATTATTTGATTTTGTAAAAATAAGTGCCAATTTCTAATAGACAGAAAAAGCAAGTTCTTATAACTATAGATTCTATAACTCACCTTTAGCTACTGGTGATATAGCAATAAAATTCACTAGTGCCGCCCCCGTACCATGTCCCATTAGAGTAACTTTTTGGGGGTCTCCCCCAAAGGCTGGAAGATTTTCTCTTAACCAATGCAATCCCGCTACCAAATCCATAAGTCCAAAATTTCCTTGTGCACTATTCTTGGCGCCGGTTTTCAAAAAACCTAAGGGCAAATAAAAATTTGTTAATAAAATTATTTTCATTTATATATTGGTTTTCTTAAATTAGGCATGTCATTGTTTTCTATAATTATGATTTTCATGGTAAGATTAAAAATAAATAAGAGAGAAAGGAGAAACAAATTTAAAGTTATTATATTTATTTTACACTTATTGTGACGTTGTAATTTCTTTAATTTTAAAACGTTTGACGTAACTGTATTTTTACGTTAACCCTCTATATAAGAAACTAATTTTTTATTGCTCTTTTTATTCTCTATGATTTTTTATTTATAAATATCTATTTAATAATAGTAATACAGCTCATTTTTTCTTTTTTAAAATAGTTTAATATGTAACATGACTAATCTTCTTGAAACGTTGTTTCCAACTAAAAGAGAAACTTTTGGAATTGTTTTGTAAGTTCAAGTTATCTAAGCGCTGATTTGCATTTACATTCCACTATTAACGCAAGTTTTACTTGCAAGGTCTTACAAAGTTTCAGTTAAAATTGTTTTCAAACAAGTTTTTGATTTGAAGTTGTAGAATGAGAATAATTTGTGGTCGCAAACTTTTAGTTTATTTATTTATATGTATATATATACAATATAAAATAAACATTTTCTTTTTATAGTAGTAGATGATACGATATAACAACGACCTTCACCGATCTGTTTAATGGATAAAGTTTATTTGATATTTAATTTAGTTTTATAAAAAACAAGGGGTTTTCGATATAATTTTTTCCAGACTTTAATTAATTGATAATTAAAACATGACTTTTTTAAATAAATTCTACTGTGACTTTAACAAAAAAAATTGACACTAATGGTAAGTACAGAGCATGAGTACTCAGCCACAGCATGATTTTACCAACTGTAAAAAAAATATTAGGATCATTAATTAAGCTAATACTTCACACTCTTTGTAAACAACAAAATTCAAAAGAGCGTAAAAAATTTGGATAGTAAAAGGAATAAAAAAACGATGAATCCTTTTGATGATAAAATTGATCACCAAGAGTTTACTTTAAATTGCTTTTCAACTCCTGGAAGATTTGAGGTACCCATAAAACGTAACAAAACCATGTTTCTTAAAACAATAGAAAAGTTCCCATGAATAAAGATAAAAATAAGAAGGTGTTGAAGATGTTGAATACTCCTAAATCAACATTTGCGAAAACTGTGAAATCGAATAGTTAAATGGTTGAGCTCATATTTATTAACGTATAAATAATACACGACTTTTATTACTTACACCTCATTGCTAACTCTATGCCACAAACATTTGAAAAAATTGCAGAATCAATACTAATAAGAATTTGTTCTATAAAAACCTCTACGGTTGTAGGGCGTACGTACACCTTGTAGCGTTTTGTACACTTCTTCTTTTAATTTACTCTCTTAATTTACTCTGTTCAAGCAAGCTGAAATTTTTATAATTACTATAGGCACTTATGGTGAAGTAACATAAGTGTCACTTCAACATAAGAAAGAAGAAGGACATGTACGATGTTTTTAGACTACAAAGAGAATGTATAAAAAAATGGCGAAATATAGTATTTGGCGAATGCACCTATTATTTAAAATTTTTGGTGGGAGCGTATTATTATGAAGATTTAATACAATTACCTCGATATTACTTTTATACAATAATTACTACTTTTATTAGTAAAAAACTTTTTACAAAAGCTTTAGAGGACCAGTGCTTGAACCATCGACCGCTAGAGTATTCACGGTGAAAGTTATGCAACTCGGCAGCCTGACTTACTTGGCTATCTGACAGACAATTTTTTTGGATTTGATTTGTTAATTTGTTGATAAGGTTATTTGTTAATACTAAATATCTATGTAATCATAAACAAATATACCTCTGCGACTTAAGCTAGAACATTACGTTTTATATGGCACTTAAGTAAAGTTGCTAAGAATGTAAAGACTAGAAATAGTATCCAAAAATTCTGTGAATCGACACGGCAAGGCACGCAACGCTTCAGTAACAACTATTGATTTTCAAAGCTCTAAAAAACTACCACCACAAATCACAGAAAGAATTAAAACCAAATTTAATAGGCTTAAGCTTAAGTTAACAACAATATTCCTTACAAACCTAAATATACTGATTCATACAATATTCTATCAGGGTTCAACACTTTGATGTGAAAATATTTTACACAAATGGGAGAAACTTTATCTCCATCACGCTACTCCTACCCGTTCAAACGACAAAACATATGCATAATGTCCCCAACCATCATACAAAAGCGTTGCCTAAGCTTTTTTGTTTAAAACGTCAGACAATTATGTCTTCTTCTTATTCTCCTTTAGTTTATTGGCCTCCACCTACTTGGGTATTTGAGCTCATCGTCGCGGAATAAAGGAACAATTATTCAGTCACCCACAATTTGGAGTTGGTAAGGGATAAATAGAAGAGTGTTAAAAGCTTTTCTCCCCCAGGGGCAACTTCCGAGCATTAAATAGTCCCGAAATTTTGCCTCGGATATGATTATGAAAAACCCAGGTGATTACAGAATTTTTATCTAGAAACTGACTGTCAGTTTCTGCTTACAAGCGAAACATTAACATCTCCAGAACATGCCAACCTCTAGTTTTGGCGAAACGTCGAGAACTAATCTCAGAAGTCAACGGCCTAACAGCCCGAACAATACAGGTATTGTATTATTTTGTATTCAACTATACAGATCCTTTTATTAGTGAAATTAATTAACTACAACTACACAGTGCTGAATATGGCTCTGATTAGAATGAATCATATATCGAAAATCTAATACCAATACATGCCTGAGAGTTTTGGCAACACTGATCTCCATAAGCGTAATGTTATTTTCTTAACGTGGACCGCTCTATACAATTAAATATCCTACCTCATTAATGATTAGGTCGGTGATTCGTGGCAAATATATAGGACGTTTATATGTCGTAGAAGGAACTATGCTACATGACCAATATAAAATGGTTTTGCAGACAAGATTGGTTCCACAAGCGACCTTGCCATATGTCTAAAAGTATTAAAATTGTTTTATTAGAACAAGAAATTCCGCTCTTATTATGGCCCAGGAACTCATAAGACACGAACCCATTAAAAATGTCTAAGAGTGCCAAAATAAAAAGGTTAGCCAAAGAAATGAATACCAGCAAGGTTCAGTTGATGGAAATAATGATTTTTCATTGGAAATACACCAAACCTTTGAAAGAAATAGTAGAAAAATGCATAAAAACCATGCCTAGGAGAGTAGCTGCACTGCTTAAAGCTAAGGGTGGCTTAACAAAATATTAATGTTGTAGTAAAATACTGTAATCATTTACGTTGTTTTTGTTCAATAAATATGCAAAAAGGATACTACTATCATTTGTGTTATCTTTCTTACTTATAACTAACATAGTTATAATTATAATTGATTATAAAACACAAAAAACTAGATTTTGATAAGTGAGTTTAATAAATAGAGCAACAACAAATGTTGGGTATCTATTTGTAGCCAGTTTATTACGTAAATCAAAATGTTGCACAGTGTTAATAGAACAATTCAAAAATCACATGTTATAAGTCTGCTAATTGACCACATTAACAGTAAGAATGTTTCATTATCCTCATTTTGAATAGGTGATTTGGAACTAAATAGTGACCTGTAGGCATTCTATGATAGTTGTTATATATCTTATATCTATGTTAATAATATCGAGATACTAAGAACTATTTGGGAAAACTGGTTGTAGCTGTTGATACTAAATACCTTTATATTTGAAAGATTTCTTCCATTCTTTTTAAAATTTATCCTAGTACATTTAAAAAAGGGATGTCGACGTTGTAACATGCATTAAATAAATAAAACTGTACGATCTGACTGCCTTTTATAAGACATAAATAAAAAATTTAACTTACCTAAAACACCAAGTCTAAAATTGATTGTAACTACAATAACGCGTCCCGTGGACGCCAATATGGTTCCGTCGTATAAATTCCCGCTGCTCCATTCATAACTTTCTCCGTGGACATACACTATACAAGGCAACAGACTGGTTTCTTCACCGCCAGTCACTGAAAAAAATAAAAATTGTTTTATTACATCGTATTGTTATTTATCGATAAATAATAAATTTTGGATAATTTTACTAAATTAACCATAAACGTCATTTAAAACAAACTTAATGTTTCGTTTTCGTTTGGAGTAAAAACTTTTATTTAAACCTTTGGCATCTATTCCCTTTAGGATAGAGTTTCCATATAACGTTATATCTTATATAATGTATAATGTATGTCTATGTATCTTATCCTTTTAAGAAAATTCACAAATCTACAGACCTAACATTTGGTCCAAAGAAGCTGAAGTTAAAAGATTTAATTTTAAAAGAAAATTTTTGCACATATAGAAAACGGAGGAAGAAACCTAAAACCATCTATAAATTTTTATCAAAACAAAGTAATTCGACAAGGTACGGTAAGCGTTTTTCATGTAAATTTGAAGTGTAAAATTCAAAGACTTTAAAGGATCATATGTATTTCGGAGCACTGGCAAAGTGAAGAAAATTTAAAATTAATTGGGATTTGCGGCTTTTCATTAGCTAACTTATTTTATAGAGTAACAAAGAAACAAGGTGGAGTTGCAAGTTATGTAAAAGAAAATCTTATGCATTCTTCCCTTAACCTAACTGAATATAACGTAGAACAAAGTTCAGAGTTTTGTATAATTTATGTACTATTGACAAAAACCAATATTTGAACTGTATACAGATCAGGTAAGGGTGATTTTGACTTGTCTTTGGTGAATTTTGGGAATGCCACAACGTCCTTGCTTAGTAAAGCAGACAGACAAATTTTTCCGAAAATGTCTACAGAGTGGGCGTATTTGAACCTTGTTTTTCTGACCATCGTGATCAATTTTTATTTATTGACTCTGAGCATAAACCTGTTGACAATAATCAAACATTTCAACGGTTTACTATTTATTCTAGTTTACAGATACAGAAGCGTAAACGTGCGCTAGCTAGTACAAAGATGGACTTTTTATATGACATTAATAATGATTCCAATTTTTGGACACTTAATTTATACCAACTTAATATTAAAGCATTTTCCACTAAAAAAGTACGACAAACTACTAAAAACACCCGTGCAATGGTTTAATAGTGAATTAAAAGCTTATATTTCTCTTATTAAACACATTGCAGATGCCACTAAGGATCCCAAATTGTTCAAAGTATATAATATACAACAAAAACTTAAATATAATCGGCAAATACAAAATTCGACCATCGCGTTAGAATCTATGGAGAAGCTATGAGCATATTAAACTGTGTATTAAAAACGGCGTAGGAGGGTGTGGCTAACGATCATACCAATATGGAGTTGGGATCAGGGCCAGACTCAATAATATTAAAACTACTATACAAATATGACTCGTTATTCAGAAGATTTATTCATATGCTAAAAAAGTACAATACATTTTTAATAAACTATGATTTATTTATCACGCGGTAAACACTAGAAACACGATATATTATACATAAAGATAAATTAATACAGTCAAATAACAAGTTATATCTGAAAAAGATAATAATATAAATAATATTTTAAAGGGTAAAATAAATATACGGTATGAAATGACAGTACATTACCTTATAACAGTTATAAGATTTTTTATGATTACCATTAATTTATTCTCTGAAGTACGAGCCATTACATATTTGTAGACTTACCTGTGGAACGTTATTCCTGAAGATTTTTTATTAACATTGCTTCTGTTACTGCAACTACGTTGAGAACAAGAAACCATTATTATGCACTATCAAAATATAATATTACAGTTTCTATAAAAGTATTATAAAACTTAAAATATTCGAAAAACAACAAACGTAAACAATTATACATGATCTGTCAAAAAGATCATACCAATATGGCCGAAGTGAGGTCGTGTTTAGTCACGCGATGCCTTCTCCATAGATTCTAACTCATTGCTAGAAACTGATAGAAAATAGTAAATTTTAAACCAGATAACAAAGAGACTGTTAAACTATTGGGAATAACAATAGATAATCGACTGGACTGGTCGGCTCATATCTCACAATTAAAAGGAATAGCTATTATGTTCTTTATTTGTTATTCGTCAACTAGAAAGGTTTGTCAACTTTAAAACATTAAAATTGAAATATTTTTCATTATTACTGTCACTTTAACTATGTATTACTCATATGACGAAGTTCAACAAATGCACTTCAAATTTTTAGAATACAAAAGAAAGCTATCAGTATTCTGCAGGGGTTAGATATCTAGAACACTGATGACCTTTCTTTATCAATTCCAAATTATGCCGCTACCTACTCTATTGATATTTTAAGTTCTGACGGAAATTCACAGAAAACTGGCTCATTTAATAAAGCAGTCTGATGTTAACGATCACAATACGCGAAACTGTCACTACCTACGAACAAATCGCTGTAGATTGCGTCTTTCAGATAAACATTGCCTTAATTATACCTATTACGATATTTTACCAAAAAGTATTAAATAATTAAGCTGTCATAGTTTCGAAAAAGTTATAAAAAAATATCTTCTGAAACATTGTTTTTACTGCTCAGGAGAATATATGACTCATTGAAGAACATCCACTGAACTGCTTACCGTGACTTTGCCATACATCATTTTCTGTTTATGTGTTCTTGTGTATGATATTTTTAAGTTACATTTAATATTTGTTTTTTATATACTATATATTTTTGACTTGCTATAAACAGTATTTGTATTCGTTAATAAATAAATAATCCCTCTAAACAATATCAACTACAATAAACATCTATACCAGAAAACGGACACTGAATCGCCGAATGGAGAAAAAGAGACCAAAAAACTTGTAAAGCTAAAAATGCTAATAAAATTCAAGTTATCCACCTTCGACATCAGAAAGCATCAAAAGCATTTTTGTACTTTCAAGATATACTACAAGAATTAAAACTTCTAAAATTTAAAACGCTAAAGAAAAATATCTATAGTTAAGTTTTTTGTATCGATTTATTTTACCTTGTTTTTTTTTTCAGTAAAACTTGAAACTAAACTTTTGCGAAAAACTTTGATAATTAAGTACTGTCGTTAGTTAGTTAGATTTTAATTAAAACGAAAAAATTTTTATAAAAATAGTTGTATCTATGTAGTTTCAAGGAAAAGTAAGCAGAATCCTATTCATAAAATAACAAAACTGTATAACTTTAATAAAGAATTTTGCTAATTAATTTTTATCGATATTTTTCTTTAGTTTACATTTAACATAAATGAAAAACGGAGCAATATAAAAAGCTATCAAAAAATTCATAATTGAGGTATAGAGAAGATAAGGATATCATTTATCGTGGTCCGATATCGTGGTATCCGATGACTGGTTTTTACAGTTATTAAGTTATCGCTAAAAAAATTAACAAGTAGTTATCTTATTTTATTTACTAATTCAAATGGATGCACCATGTTCCAACTAACCAAGAAAAATGAACCATATCTAGCGAAAGCCAATCAACCGCTTTCTTAAGAGAATTGTCACAGGTCGCAAAATGAACAAGCATTATTCGATGCTTGAAAAGCTGCCGAGCATTACAAGGTTAAACTAAGTAAACTGTAACTGATCCCGAAAGACAAAAAGCACAGTTTACAGGGTTGGCAACAAAAATCAACCAGACAGAAAAAAAAGAAAAATAACCAGCAAAAGAAGCATAATACTGCACACATGATAAAGAATTAGTAAAGGAAATGGAATGGATTAGAGTGAAAGATAAAAATTCGAAGACAAAAACGAAAAATGGATACTTCCTTATACCATCAAAACCTATCTCCAGAGAATTGACCGACAAGAAAAACAAGATGCCACACCCAATGATAGTAGAAGGTATTAAACAATACGATAGATTTGTTTCACTACAAAAATTATTTACAGTGATGTAATTTGTCAATTCAAAAGTGTTAAACAATATAGATAGTTAACAAGAGCTTTAAATCAATAAAATTAATAATACTATTTATATGAGGGATAAGCAGGACATGCCGTTTAAAGTTTTAGTAAAAAACATACACCACTCTTGTTCAAAGAAAGATATTATTGCTGACTAACTAAACAGGGGCTTCCAAAATATTAATACTATCAATAAACTTAAATAGCGAACCAAACAGCTATTAGATATGTTCAAAGTAACCTTTAAGCAAGATAAATACAGTATAGCCCAAAATTAACAGTACTGAACTTGTAATTATTTTATTGTTTAAAAAAATATATATTATTGACGCTTTATAACATGTTCTTAATGAGCTCCTTCTCTCTCAAGACAGACTTCATATTGATATTCTAGATTTCTCGCAATATTATGAAATAAAGGTTATCTCAAGTCCGCGAAGAAGGCTCTAATGGCATCTGTTAATTCATTGATGGTTTGTGGTGCCCGTTTAAAAACGGCAGTCTTAGTCATGCCCCAAATGTATTCGTCTGGAGATGTTCCGTCTGGAGAATGTGAAAGATAGGGGACGTCAGTAAATCGTGAAATGAAGTTGTTTGGAAAATGTCCCTGAAGAAACTCACGAACTGCAACAGCAGTATGGCAAGTTGCCCCATTCTGCTACAACAATTAGCCTCGAAATGCCAAAATACGTGTACGACAAAATGGACGTAGATCAGGGATAAATCGTGTTAAAATTTGTATGTACCTCTGTTGATTAAGTTTGACTTGCCCACCATTTTCTTTGATCAACCAGCCAGTTAGCATCAGTTATCAGCAACGCTGTTCTTGTCTGGCTGACTTTCGGATTTTCCAAGATTCGCTTAAAAACATGTTTATTGTTATCGGTGTTATTAACTGTTCTGAGACGCCCTGATTTTTCTTTTGGTTGGCAGAATGCATTATCCGTATTTCTAAACTAACAACTTTTAATATTACAGCATTTTTTGAAGAACGTTTATTAAACCGTTGTGTGAATTAATCACATACGTATTGCACGTATTGCACTATTATGTCGGCCGATTCTATATGGGCGAAAATAATGCTCCACAAGAAACACTTTTTCCTCTG